AAACGTGCATAAACTAATTACCCGCATAAACTACGCTCGACTTCATTAAATTACATACAAAAAACAAACATCAAATACAATAATTACTCTGGCTTACCATTCGAGATGCAGCTCCCGAAAGGTATCAAGTAAGGCCAGTATCGCTTCAGACTTTGCAACTCTCTTACGCATCAAGCAAGGTGAAAACGAAAACGATGCCATCCGAAATCGGATTTCCGACTTTGACAAGCGACGTATTTCTCAACCAAAAACCCAATAAACAAACTAGCCATGAATAACAGAAGACACCTGATAGCAGCTGAATTTCATTTTGTATATCCAGTGGAAAAAGATAGTTAAAAACATCACAAGTTGACACAAAACGCTGTCAGTTTCAGGTGTCAAAGTAAACAAGTTTTCGCTTGAACTCACCTGTGAAATTTTGACCAATCAGAGCATAAAAATTGCACGTAGAGCGTGACCAACGCGTGACCGGGGTGAGAAAAATCGCCAGAAAAGTCAAAAGCAACTCTCTTCCCTGCCGGTAACAGCTGGCTGAATTTTCGCGTCCGAAGTCAGTTTGAAATCAAAATTTTATTTGTGCGGCATATGAACACAACATATTTCATATGAATTTAACAAAATAAACTTGAGCCTGCGATCACTTGAAAACTAGTACCTTGTCAGCGGATAACTTTAAAAATACTTGACTTCGATGGGTCGACACCTGAGCCCGAAATACGGTCAAGTGATACTGGGCAGCGGGTACCCTGTTTTGACAGCTGTCAATTGATCAAAACATTGATGTCCGCTATTGATGCATTATCAGTTTTCCTGTGCTCCCAAACTAGCTAGAAAGAATGAGATTGAGCATTGTTCCCGATCTAGTAAAACAATCAACTAGTCAGCGGACAGCTTCCAAATAAATCACGTCACCTCGATGAGTTGGATACTGGTCAGTGGCTATCCTGTTTTGACAGCTGTCAATTGACCTTATTGTGAATGTCCTATATACAAGATGTGGACTTGCCAAGACACGCCAGGGACACCCCTCTCTTCCTTTTGATAGTCTCTCCTACCCCACCCGTACAATCTGTAGAAGCGTACGTACGTACGTACGCTCGGTCAATCACGTGACAACCGAACGAAAAGAGGTTGACCATATTACATGAGTATGGGGCTTTGTCCCACGCGCGCTTTGCGCGCGCGGGAGCCCCGCTATAATCATCAAATCGGTATCAAATATTGAATAAAATATAGAGGACATCGATCTAATGGATGAAGAACTGTTCATGTCAAAAGAGGAAAAAGGTGTTTATAATCAGTGCTTGAATACTGATTTGGTTATGAAGTCAATGATAATGTTAAAAAATTTGAGCAGATAGTGTGGACATCGATGCTGAATTAAATTCTATCGTTATATCAGGCAAATATAATATCAGATCAGGGACTATTCATGACAATAAACCAATCAAAGGCTCCCGAAAATTCTAGGTGATATTTTTAGGGTAAAAATCCGTGGGCAATTATACCTTTTTTAGATGTTCGAAAATCCTAGGAGAGGTAGGCAAGCAAGAAATTTTACAACAAATGTTCCAAAAATTCTAGATCTCAATTCGTCTTCCGAACAGATATTTTCCGAAAATTGACTTTGGGTGCTCCTGACAAAACTAGATGATACTGGTTTGTATTTGTAATGTATATTCCAAATAGGTTATTTCCTTTTATATCTGGCTGCCGTGATAACTCTAAACCATTACAGAGAAGATGATATACTTACATTCACGTTACATCAGGTACTATGCTTTGTTTGGAAAGGATGTAAATACCTTCAGGCTCAGGTATTAACCCCTTGCCTAATGGCACCTTTTCTAAAGTTTACTGTCTGCTTTTTATTAATGACTTTATTTTCCTTGTAATTTTTTTTTTTTTTACTCGTACGTTTTGGTTATAGAACTTTCCTCTTTGAAAAGAAAATTTCGTTACCAGAAATACGTATCCCGCATTAACCCGCGCAAAACTCGGTTTTAAATAGCGCCACTCAAGTTAAGCCGTGTTGTGCGGGGTTAGAAACTGGATGGGTAACCCGTCGCGAATATCCTATCTTGATCTTCTGCCTTGTCAATAATATGATACGCGTTACTGACGAAACCTGAGGTCAATATTAAACAGTTATTAGATTCGGTTATTTTGATATCCGGAATAATCAAGGTCGAGGTAACACGTCATACATTGTTTTGAAGAGAATCAAACAAACAACCAGCACACGAAACACAGACGGACATTGAAAATCATGCATTTGTTTCCTAAAATTAGAACTGTAAAACATGTAACTAAAGAATCTAAAATCAAGAGCCGATTAAGCTAAAATTTATTATCCTCCCTTTTCTTTGGGTACTAATGTCGAAAACATACATCTAGAATCTGGTAATCCTGTGAAAATACACATTTTCTCTTCCGATCCTTTAGTTTTAATCCCTAATTGATATCGCCCTAAATAATCTTCTTCCGCAATCTCAATTTCTTTAACGGGTTTGCAATTTGAGATATTTATGATAAAGAGTCTGTACGGCGCATCATCTATTTTATTTTTGTATAAACTATTGCAATTGAATTACTCACTGGGATAACAAAGACACAAACAAACAAAAACAAAGAAAGCAGGACTACTTTTATCAACTTATTCCGTAAACGCATCGGAAGCCGGCAAATTCATGGCTTGATAGTCTGGTATGGTAATGATAGTGGCTCGACTTTGCACTACTCTAGCATTAACTTAAAGGCACATGCCAACAACAACAAAAAAATTCAAAGAAATAAGGAACAGTTCAACGAGTACAACTTACAAGGCAGTTAACTCTGTCAGACTTGACAACGTTCCTGTTTCCAGTTTCTGGATTTTGTTACCATTAAGATATCTGCATAATGAGAGAACAAAAGAACTGGGTGGACAAAAGCGCTAAAAACCCCTATCACGATAACGCCACTCTTAAAAAAAATATTGCCCAAAATGCTCTTTAACATTCCAAAGGGAGACTTTTTACACAGGAAAATGTTGCTCCTCTCATAATAACGACAATAATGAATTATTGATGATTATGATAATTATTACAAAACAATAATAACAAAATGACAAATACGGTGATAAATTGGTAACACTTACAATTCTCTCAATTGCGCCATGGTTGAGAAAATCCCGGCATCTAATCCCTGAATTTCATTGGAGTGTAAAAATCTGTAAGAAGGTAAAAACCAAATTACGGCACAACTTACAAAAACTTTGTACACATTTCAACATCTAATCTAGTTCATGTTTCAAATCAGTTCATTAATTAGACGTCTCTTAAAAACTTAAGCATTTATGATTTCCCTTAAGTCTTTACTTAAATTATTCCAGATTTTCACACCACAGTAACAAAAAGCGCGTTGGCCAGCATTGATTCTACAAGATGGAATATTGAGGCTATCTCTATATCTTGTCTGTCTATCATGGACAATACCACGAGTTGAAAATTTATCTGACAAGCCAAGGTGAGAGACCTGCAGAGATATGGTCATACTTGCGAAGTCCCAAGATAATCCTGGCTGCAAAATTTTGAACAAGCTGAAGCTTATGGACGTTAGTTGTTGAGGTATTAATCCAAACTGAGGAGCAGTAAAACAGCTTGCTAGAAACAAAGCTATTAATGATGAACAAAAAAGTTTCCTTGTCAAGTAAATGCTTAATTCCATTGATCTGGATCAGTTTGTTTATACAACTAGCGACAGTTTTACGTACGCGTTCATCATAGGAGAGGCACTGATCTAAAAACACTCCAAGATCCTTTGCTACAGGTGTCGATGATATTTGTTCGGGACAAATCTAATTTGAAAATCGGACATGAAAATTATCCGAAAACTGTTAGGTTTTTTTGATAGGGACTTGAGCATTGGTCACGTGACTTCTTTTTCCATGTGACTAGTGTGTTGATCTGTGAGAGTTGTTGCGTTGTTTGTATGGTAGAGAGAGCACAGAACTTGTAAGTATTTGGTTCGTTTTTCAGTTCTATTTTGCTCTCTGCCTACATGTTTTGTATTTTTATTTTAGTTTTCACCGTTTGAGCTGAAGAAATCTGTGCTTTCCCCCAACAATATTGGTTTGCCACAAAGTGTTATTGTAAAGCCAGGTAACTGTCGTAGCAATTGCGGCACTCCTATGACAACAAGTTTTCTCTGGATTCATAAGCAGTGAATTGTGACAGCAACACCTACAGATTTTGTTTAGATCAGAGTTAACTGCGGAGACTGCGTTACATAGCTCAGTAGTTTTAAATTTCTAGTAAAGGTTAGAATCACCAACGTAACAAGCAGTTTGACAAAGTTTTGGTACAGTTAGTAAATCATTTATATAAACAGCAAACAGAAGAAAGCCAAGAATGGACCCTTGTGGAACTCCATAATCAACTGGGAGAGACTGCGAAACCACATCCCCAATACGAACATACTCGCACCTTACTTGAACCATTCAAGCGCTCATGGAGACACGCCAAGGCTACGACATTTAGATAACAACATGTCCTGGTTTACCCTGTCAAAGGCTTTTGACATGTCCATCAACACCAATATTGAGATTTTCTTTTCATCCATAGCTTTTAATAGGTCATCAGTAGTTGAAAGAAGAGCCGTTTCAGTGGAATGGTGCTTACGATCGCCACTTTGGAATTGTGATAGCTTGTTGTTATCGTCTAAGAACTTGACAAATTGTCTGTGAGCCAAACTTTCATTTACTTTGGATAATATATGGGTTTCCAGCATCGCCATCTTTAGCAACACTAGTCACTTCAGCAATTTTCCACACACGTGCGAATGTATTATATTTAAAGGAATTGTTCCTCAGGAATGTGATTATATGCAAAGTAGCTGGTAAACTATCCTTAAGTATTCTCCCTGGAATTTTGTCAAAGCCGGGTGCTTTATTAAAAGGCAAAATAAGGATAACATTCGCCACATTGTCCTCTGATACAGGCTGAAATTCAAACTGCTCAGCTCAGCGCAGGAATGTTAGGGGTTGGATAGACGTTTGAATCCAAAGTCCAATTTTGGTCCTTGGCTAACTGATTGGCTTTAAGAGCTGTTAAACTTCCAACCGAAATACTTATTGAAACTGTTGGCAACGTTCTCATGACTATCATTAAACTGCGGTAAATTGGGAGATTTTTTGGCAAACATCGATTAATCACCTTCCATATGGAGTTTGTGTTACCTTTGCTATTTATAATCTGCGATCTCATGTAAGTCCTTTCAGCCAAACGGACTTCACGCTTCACTTCCTGTCTGAAAAATGTATAGGCATTCCAGTGAAGTTTGTCGTTTGTTTTTATCGCACTCTTGTACCAATCATAACGTGTTTTCATCAGTTGTAAGATATCTGGCGTATTAAACGGACGGGTTTGGCTTCGCTTTTATTTTAATTCTCTTAATCGGTGCATTTTCGTTGAGGATACCAAGAAACAGGGTGTTGTACACGTCTGACTTGATCACTAATATCATGAAAGAAGTTTACCATAATATGAAAAAAAGCGAACTGAAGATCCTCAAGGAATTTCGTAGGGTTAAAGTTTTTGTAGCTCGTAATAGACACATAAGAAGATTTTGCTCTGGGAACCTTTAAATTCAGTAGTAAATAAATAAGGTTCTGGTCGCTTATAGATGAAGCAAGGACCCCGCTGGATGTAAAAATCTCCTTGTTTATAGTCATAATAACATCTATCAAAGACTGGCTGCTCTCTGTGATTCTGGTTGGCGAGTTAATTAACTGAGTTAAACCAAATGTTGTACAAAACTCCAAGAGAGCTCTAGCTTCGTAGTCGTCGCTGAGCAAGTTGCAGCTGAGATCACCGATGACAAAGGTATCCAGACCACTTAAGAGTGAACTTCACTGGAGCGCTAGGTGGTCGATAGACAGTATTTAATAAAAACGATTTACAAAATTGCGTTTGTACTTGAAGCCTTAATTGCTGAAAGCCATCGCTAGCCACTGAAGAAAGGTTTTCGATGTACTCACCTTTCAAAGTGTCTATCGTATAAACACAAAGTCCACCACCCACTTTCTGAGGACCGTCAATGAAGATAAAACATTTCTCATTGGTTTAAAAATATTGTCAACAATCATACCACTTTCTTGTGTTTATACACAAATCTGTATAGTTTTGGGTGAAAGAATCTCTTGAATTCATATGGTTTCATCTATGTTATGTTATATATCTTATTGTGTTAAGTAAACTCGTTTTCATTATATAATTAGATTACTATTTTGAAAACACCCTCTGAGGCAGATTTCAATGGCGGCAAAATGTAGCTAATTTTCCTGTTTGTAATTATTTTACATCATAATGCTAAAATACCATTATTGATCATCTGCCATGCAAAGTTTCATGGTCGAACTCAGAACGCTTCCTTTCGAAGTAATCAGAAGTATGCGCAATGTAAACTAGCAAAAAAACGCAGGATTTATAAAAAACTCGTAGTTGCGCTGCAATAAAATTAAAAATAAAATTTACCCTAAGCAATTTTTACTTTGCTACTTATAAAAATACCCAAGAGCTCATAGGAAACACACCCGGGGCATTTGGAGGCTATTTTAAAATAGCGTCAAATTTTGGTGTAGTTAATCCGCTTTTGATACCGTCACGGCAATGTAAACAAAAGTGATTATCACCTTGTGTCGACAAAGGTTTCCAATTAGCCCGACCGATTTCTGGGACGATTTCCAAGACATTAAGGTGTTTCGATACAGTTTTTTCAGAGGCCATACCGATATTTTTCGATCGCATTAAATGTGGTTTTTTCCATGTCCGATCACTACAAAATTTTCACCAGTAATTGGCTATGGATTGAAATTTGTGAAAGTGTAGTTTGAAGTAAAATCGATATTACTATGATATGCAATCAATGCGAATATTCTCAGGATTTTCCCTCTATCATTATAACTAATTTGTATCTTATTCTTCGGTGGAATATCGTCTATAACGTTTAAAATGTGATATTTTCGGTGATAATTAGATTTTTTTTTTATTCTATACATATTTTCATAAAAATCCTCAAACTCGTTTGCAGCTAAGTAACCATTTTCTGTGCCGCAATTGGTACAGACAATACGTGAGTTGTTTATTAAATTTGGGTTATCGATTTAGTTGACATTGCGTATAACAGACATTATAATAAGGGAAACCCCTTACAGGTGACCAAAAATCGCATCCCACATTAAAGAAAATATTGAATTAGAGTTAAATACAAAGCTCGTTTAAGGAGGTAATAGGGCGTTCCGCTACAACAGGTATATTATATGTCGCCCCACGTTTTTGCTGCACATAATATACCAATAATCAGCGTACCCTGTTAACATTAACAAAAAACCCCAAGGGGTTATGTTAGCTTGTAAATTGTCCAATGTGGCAAAAACCTCATCTTGTTCTTGTTTTCGCAAGGGTAGACTAACAATGGCAACACAATAAGTTAAACCTGAGCGATAGTTTTGACATCTGTGGTGAGATTTGAAATTAAATGGAGCGATATGGATCTCTAGACGGCCTTGTTGAATCAATTGATGAAGTGGATAATCCACGATTTTTTAACTCTCTTGATATTTTCACTTAAGATATATTAGTTTTGTTAAGCTTGTTACAGTCACGAGATTAACGCCTCTCTTTTAAACATCTCTTATCTATTAAACGCCCTCGCTTGGATCCCTAAAATTAAATAGAAACCCCAGGCGTTTCTTAGGTCATTTACGGTATATGTAAAGCCATCTCGTGCTTCTACCTCGCTGAGCAATAGACGCACGTTACATGCGCGATGCGAAGAAGAAAGAATTAAGCCTTCGCTACGCCTGGCCCATAAGAAATAAACAGGTTTTCTCACCTAAATTAACCTTATTAGCTAACCTCATTGTCTAAAATGTAAATATGATACGCGTTACTGACGAAGCCTGAGGTCAATATGGTCAAGTCCTCGGAGACCTCGTTTCCTATATGATACCCATTGCTTTGCTGGAGATTCCGGTTGAACAATTATTAGATTAGGTTATTTTGATATCCGGAATAACCAAGGTCGAGGTAACACGTCATACATGGTTTTGAAGATAATAAAAACAAACAACCAGCACACAAAAAACAGCGGACAGACATTGAAAATAATGTATTTTGCGCTTAACTTTTAAATATGTCATTTATCTCCAAGCAGATAACCAACGAGCCGTTAGAAACTGTAACTGTAAACATTGTATTGCAAATATTGCTTACGGTGTTTCTCATGGAATGTTTGTTTGGGGAAATTCATGAATCCAAAAACGATTTTGTGTTTCTTTGCTAAAATTAGAACTGTGAAGCATGAAACTAAAGAATCGAAAATCCGGAGGCGATTAAGCTAAAATTTATTACCCTTTCTTTTCTTTGGGAACTGATGTGGAAAACATACATCTGGAATCTGGTAATCCTAAGAAAATACCCATTTTCTCTTGAGATCCTCTAGTTTTCCTCCCTAATTTATATCGCCCTATATAATCTACTTCTGCAATTTCTATTTTTCTAGATAGTTCGCAATTTGGGATATTTGAGATAAAGAGTCTGTACGGTACATTATCTATTTTAACATAAAATATTGCAATTAAATTCCTCACTGAGATAATCAAGACACAAACAAACAAAAGCATAAAAACAAAGAAAGCAGAACTACTTTTATCAACTGAGTCCGTTAACACATTAAAGTCGGCAAATGACTTAATAGTGTGGTATGGTAATGATAGTGGCTCGACTTTATACTACTCTGGCATTAACTCCAAGGCAAATGCCAAAAAATTGAAATAAATAAAGAGCACGTCAACGATTACAACTTACAAAGTAGTTAACTTCGTCAGACTTGAGAACGTTCCAGTTTCCAGTTTCTGGATTTTGTTACCATGAAGATCTCTGCATAATGAGAAAACAAACGAATTTAGTGGACAAAGCGCCGAAACTCGTATCACGATAACACCACTCTTAAAGGAAATATTGCCCAAAATGCTGTTTAAGATTCCAAAACGAGATTTTTCGGACAGGAAAATGTTCGTTTTCTCCTATTAACGACAATAACGAATTATTAATTATTAAGATAATTATACTAAATAATAATAACAAAATGACAAATATAACGATAAATTGATAACACTTACAATCTTCCCAATTGTTCCATGTTTGAGAAAATCTCCGCATCTAATCGCTGAATTTCATTGGAGTTTAAATATCTGTAAGCAGGTAAAAAATCAAATTACAACACAACTTATAAATGGTTTGTCAATAATTTTACTGGGAACTATCCCTGTAAATATGACATCCAAATTATTAATGTTAATTGCTATCAAGATGTATGGATTAGTGTTTATAGAACAGTAATATAACTGAATTAAAATTTGCAAAAACAACCGAAAGACAATCAAAAGGCCGAACGCCTTAATCAAAAATTTCATCGTGATTTCAGAGGCAATAAAGCAGAAATAATCAAATGATCCAGAAATGTATTAATGATTCATAAGCCAGATGACCTATGAAATGGGCGATAATACATCATACATAAACATCATAATACATAAACCTCCCCCATTAGTGTGCGGTGTTTTATCAGATATCACGTCACTGTGAGTGACCCATGAAAATCAATTATCGGCACAGCAACTAACACAAAAAGGGGGGAATATTTAATGTTTTTTTCAAAATTACACAAGCAGTAAATTTACTATTGCACAAAATCAAACTTTGTTTTTTCACCAATTTAATCAGCCTAACGTTGAGTGACATAGCGGTTACATAGGCTATTACAGTGCACGAGCGTTGTACTCAAGACTCATCAGTTGCGAAGACGCAAGGCTCGAGAACTAGATTTTTGTTTTCCTACTATTCGGCAATTCCAGAAAATCTCTTCAAAGGCTACTTTTTTACTGCACGTGTTGACTTTGGGGTAGCATTTTTGATTAACTTTTTCTCTTCCTCGGCATTTTTGGCTTCCGAAAAGCTCTGGAACATGACGCCATGTCCTCTTTGGTTAGTGTCGTTGGTGGAAGAAAATTTCTAAACGCGTGTGACATTTGATTTTCTTTCATGTCTGTTTCATATATGTATCTATTTTGGCTAGTGACTTTAAACCCGATAAAAAACGGCTGCCCGTTTATTAAACATTACATTAATGCGACGAGTTTTAAAATAATTCAGTTGGACGCACGGACGGGGGTGCTCGGTCACGTGGCTGTCAACAGGAAAGGCTTCAGAGCTGAATTTTTTTTTCTTTGCCAAAGTGCTTTTCAATAGAGTTAGAATATTGGTGGAAAGGAATCGCAATATCAAACTTTTTAAATTTTCAGATGACGTTTTCTATTACGCCAACCTTCGCCTCAAAAGTGGCTCGATGTGGTTTTTCAGGGGCAATACCTTCCAGGTTGAACAAAGATTTGGAAAAACTTTCCACCACAGCTGCATTAGATAAAGATAAAAACTAGTTACGATCAGGGTTGTAACGACATCGTAGATGTCATAGTGAAGAAATGACGCAATTGTTTATTTTACTTGCAGCCGTATTTCTCGCCGCTGGGAAGTGTTTTTTCCAAAATCGTTCACAAGAACTTTTCCCTCCAATAGCCGCCTCGATGTTCGTAAAGTTTAAGAGAAATCTGTAAGAGTGTTAATATATAGATTTAGCCAGGGCTAAAAGCGAAGCTCCCGTTAATAAATT